AAACATGCCTATTTCCAACTGGTCTAACTTTATTCTTTATGAGATCATATTAAAACTAAATCAGAGAGAAAATATTCTGAATACTTTATTTCTACAGAAAATATCCATAAACATAAGATGTGTCTAAAATAGAAAAGCATATAAATACAGACTCCCACTAATCCAACATATCATCAAATGATACAACACCCATATGAGCAGTGTGCTCATGAAAGACCTTGGGTGGTAGCCCTTTAGTAAGCAGATCTGCAATCATGGAGTTTGTGCCAATATGCTCTATAGACACCTGACCACTATGAACTCTTTCCTTAACAACTAGAAACTTGATGTCTATATACTTTGACTTTGTCGAGCTCCTATTGTTGTTGGAATATAAGACTACTAAGTTATTGTCACAAAATATCTTATGTGGTCTTTCAATTCCATCTAAAATTCGCAGCCCTGTGATAAAATTCCGCAGCCATATTCCATGATTGGACGCCTCATAACATGCTATAAACTCAGCTTGCCATGGTGGAAGAAGCTATGAATATTTGCTTGGCACTCTTCCAGGATATAGCTCCTCAAGCAAGCAGATAAATATAGCCTGAAGTGGATATACGATTGTCTTGGCATCTAGCAAAGTTAGAATCTGAATACTCGATGACCTCTAACTTATCTGACCTCTTGTATGTAAGCATGTCATGTTTTGTTCTCTAAAGATACCGCAAAACCCGTTTGGTTGCTTTCCAATGATCCATTCCCAGATTGCTCAAATATTTGCCTAACATCCAACAATGTACTCAATATCTGGACACGTACAAACTTAGGCATACATTAGACTTCCCGCTGCTGAAGCATAGGGAATCTTCTGCATTTTCTTAGTTTCAAAATCATTCTTGGGGCATTGATCGGGACTGAACTTGTCTCCCTTAGCAACAGGGGTGTCTCTTGGTTTGCAACTTTGCATGCCAAATCTCTTAAGTACCTTCTCAATATAGGTCTTTTACAATTCTGCATGCCAAATCTCTTAAGTACCTTCTCAATATAGGTCTAGTCTAAATCTGTCCAATCTGTTAGCAATAATATGGATAATACAAAGAAGAACAATATATATAACAACTTTTACAAGAACAAAATAATGAAATTGTTACAACACTAATTCAACCTTTCTACCAAACTTGGAAAAACGAGTTGGCAAGGATGTCGAGGGACGTGAACCACGCTTTCCTCTTGTCCGGCGAGTGCTTGAGGTAACGTTGGACGTCCGTCTCCCAGGATACAATGACAATGACATTAGTACGACACACTATCAAAACTGTCTCAGCGAACTAGAATTGCACCTTTCCTCTTTCACCCAAAACACACAACAAAAGAAAAACGCACAAAGAACTCGAAAACAAGAGAGAAACCGAGATAGAGGGGAGAAGAGGATTCTTGAAAATGTTGTGTCTTGTTCAAGTGGAGTATGGCCTTTATATAAGCTCTAAATTTAGGTGTTAGACCATGACATTATGGTGTATAAATTCGGATTTATTCTCAGATTAATGGAGATTAAAACAAAGGTTACAGCCCCTGATGAACCTGCTCAAAAGTACGTCCACATTCGGAAGTTAAATGTCCATAAACCAAGCAATGATGCTGATTACTGCTGCAGTTTCGCACCCTGCACTAATGCAGAGTCAATCATCCACTAATGCAGCAGTTTCAGATTTCAGTTGAAAAAAATAAAAAGAAAAAATTGGAAAACAAAGCTCGTACGAAGCGGGGTTTCCGGTCCGGCATTCGTGTCCACAGATCGCAGGCGCACACATTGGGCCTCGCTCAAAAGTACGTCCACATTCGGAAGTTAAATGTCCATAAACCAAGCAATGATGCTGATTACTGCTGCAGTTTTTGCACCCTGCACTAATGCAGAGTCAATCATCCACTAATGCAGTAGTTTCAGATTTCAGTTGGAAAAAATAAAAAGAAAAAATTGGAAAACAAAGCTCGTACGAAGCGGGGTTTCCAGTCCAGCATTCGTGTCCACAAATTGCAAGCGCACACATTGGGCCTCTAACCCACTGGGACCATGATTCACTCCCTACTTGCACGTGAGAGAGCCTCTCTAGTATACATGCTTACCTAGGTTTCAAAGTGCAATCACTTATAAACACCACCAAGACTTCATTTCTAGCCAATGTGGGATTTTTACAATTTCTAACTACCTTAACCATTCCAAGTGACATACTTTGAACATCAATTTCTCGACGGAGAATGCAAATCTATCGAGACTCATCCAAAAATCCAATTGGGCATCTTTCTAATATGGACCTCAAAATGAGCCTTTAACCTGGCTTAATAAGCCATTTTGCCAACACAATCAACTTGAATCAGCGGGTTGTATAATTAAACTTTATTAGTTTATTTATTCCATGACCTTAAGAAGTTAACACAGCATGTAGTTATATTGTAATATAATGATTTATAAAGCAAATTACTAGTGATTCAAATAATACATAGATTTCTGTGTGTATTTGTCCCATGTATACACGTCTAGAGAGTTTGGACTAACGTAGAGTCTCCTCAAAGTTACGTGTAAGACAGATTGGTTTTCCATCCTAAGAAAGCTTTTATACACCCAGTACATGCATACATATATATACATACATATACATATACATATATATACATATACATATACATAAGTTAATTCAACTTAAAGAATAAAGATACAACTTTTTACGATTTAAAAAAAAAAAAAATCATGACGCTTAATTTGTATTTGATTATACTTTTATGTATAGGGCTACAAGAATGCCCCTTCAATGGGGGCTTTTTCTTGAACGCTATGCAAAATTATGTCTTTACTTCCTCTCATTTTATATGGACAGAAAAGACAGAAAATTCTAAGAGAATAACTCAAAACTGAAAAAAAATAAAATAAAATAAAATAAGATGAGAACGTATGATTCTCTGATTTTCTCTTTTATCTCCGTCAATCTCTTCTGTGAGCTTTGTGAAACGACAATGAAAAATGCATGGCTCCTACTGTCTATGAAAGGTAAAATTTTCATTACATTGTATGTTTATAAGAATATAAGGGTGGAAATGGAAATATATAATTTTTTAGAACATTTTTGAAATAACAATTGGGCAGTAATTATTATAATGATACTCATGTTTTATGCTACAAATTTATGTAATAATTATTATATTGATTTTAATTTATGCTAAATTTTTTTAGGTGGCACGTTATAACTTTTATATGTTTTATATTTACCGCACAATTATTTTTGTTATTTTTATTTTTTTTACAATCAGATAAATGTGACGTTTTGTTGGCCTTTTAACTACTCTATTTGCGTGTCTCAAATCTAAAAAACTCCAAAAAGTCTATCACAAATCTGAAATGAAAATCATAGCAGATGAATCATTTTTAAAAATATTTATGATATTTTAAAAAATGTATGATAAATAATATATTTAAGATAAATAATTTATTTACGAAGCAAAATTATAAGATAGATTTACTATAAATACTCTTTGAAAATGAATCATTATAGTAAATATGTTGTTGACCATAACTGTTTACCATAATTTTTTTTAGAAAAATAACGTTTAGCTCTTTCTCTCGATCCTAAATTTCTGTTCCAACATCTAAAGAAACTGTAATAAGCAACATTTTTATGCAACTAAATTAAATAAATAGTAAATTTTAAAAAATTTAAAGTAAATAATAACAAAAAAAATTACCACTTAAATTTTTTATTTACGCTAGTAAATTTTTTTTACCATATAAATTTTCTATTTATGACTAATAAAAATATTTTTATGAAAAATTTTAAGTTATTACTATTTATTTGAAATAGTTTTAAAATCTACTATTTACCACCTTCTCTATCCTCCCTTCCAACAGAAGTTGTAGAAAATAGCATATTTATGAAACTAAATTATGTAAATATCATATTTAAAAACTATTTCAATTAAATAGCAATTTATTGTATAAATTTTTTATTTACGTTCAGTAAAAATAATTTAAGTGGTTAAAATTCTTTATTTATGTGCAAAGAAATCTTTTACCTGTCGTAAAAAGAAAGTTTACGTGAAAAAAAATCTTTTTAGTAGTCGTAAAAAGAACATTTTGTACGATAAACTGCTATTTATTTTAAATAGTTTTAGAATTGAGATAATACCTAAAATATCCCATGTGTTTTGTCAAAATACCAACTTTCGTCCCTCTTATTATGCAAATACCCAAAATATTCCCTTTATTTGGAAAAACAAAACCAAAATATCCCCTAAAGCAATTAAATTTTTTTAAATACCAAGTTTATCCTTCTCGATCTTTATTAAATACAGTTTAAAATATTATTAAACCAAAATGTTAAATAAAATTAACCTTAAAAATAAAAACCTTAAAATAATTAAAATATTTTTTGATTGGAATATTTATTTGAGCATTTTAAGTTAAAACATATTTAAAATAACATTTAATATAAATTGGAAAGGATAATGATGACATTTTTAAAAATTTAACTGCTTTAGAGGGTATTTTTGAGTCTCCTTTTATAAATACAGGAGGTGTTTTGGATTATTTGTATAAGAAGAGAGGTGAAAGTAGTATTTTAACAAAACACAAAAGGTATTTTGTGTATTTTCCCTTTAAAATTGTTATTTACTTCAATTATTTATTATGAATATGCTATTTACTTCATTATCTCTTTTTAACAAAAGAATAGAGAATTTACCCTTAAAAATGTATAAATTTATATTTTTATTCTTGATAAATACCTTTTTATTAATGTAATAATTTAACTAAAAAAATTATAAATTAAATATAAAAGAATAAAAATCCCGACTGTGTATACGAAGATTACCCCCTTTTTAACATTTACTTCCCTTTCCCCAAAGCCCCATCTGTTGTTTAGCCCAAAGAAATACAACGAAAAGCCCATAAGGCCTCTCGCTCCCGACCCAACCCCAAAACTAAACCCAGCATTGCTATGGCATCCTGTTCTGTTCTGTTCTATGTCAAATCAAAAGTAGACCTAAAACCTTTTTCGCATCACCAACCAAATTGAGATCAAGGATTTAGCTATGGCGACCGAGTTGTCATCTTCTGCGGCTACAGAGCAACAACCAGAGGGAGGTCCGGCCATGGCGGCGGCGAATGCTGGGCCCCACAAGCTAGAGAGGAAGTGGACGTTCTGGTTCGACAACCAGTCCAAGCCCAAGCAAGGCGCCGCCTGGGGCACCTCCCTTCGCCAGGTCTACACTTTCGACACCGTCGAGGAATTTTGGTGGTACCGTGTTCATTCTCTTCACTTCTTTCGTTAAGTTTGGGATTTGATTGCTTTGCTCTTGTTTTTGTTAGATTTTTTGAATCCGTTTTTGTTAGATTTTTTGAATCCGTTTTTGTTTTTTGTTGACGTTCGCGTTGGTAGCTCGGAAACTCTTGAGGGGAAGTTGAAATTTTGTTTTGTTTTGTTTTTTTTTTTTTTTGGAACGGTTTTTAATAAAAATTCAGTGAACCTATCTGGAACTTGAAAATTTTGCCTCTGTTGCGACAAGATTGCTGAAATCAGGTTTCAGATCCGAAGTGACAGAAGTTAATTTTTCGTATTTTTCAATGATCTAGGTTTAATCTTTAACCAAATACGTTGTCTAACCCAAAAAAAGATCTAGCTTTAGTTATATAGTTGAAACCCCCAGAAATAGGTTATCAAACAGAATTTGAACTTGGTTTTTGGTTCTTTCATTATAATTGATCCTTTTGAGCCATGGTTGAGTTAATTTAACTTATCTCAAACGTTTGATTTTGATTCTTAGTATTGAGATTTTGATGTCAAATCTGTTTACTTTTACAGTTTGTATGACCAAATATTCAAGCCCAGCAAGTTGCCTGCACAAGCGGATTTCCATTTGTTCAGAGCTGGGGTTGAACCCAAGTGGGAAGATCCCGAATGTGCTAATGGAGGCAAGTGGACTGTTGCCAGCAACACAAAATCTAGCCTCGATACGATGTGGTTAGAAACTGTAAATATCTTACTTTTGCCTATGTCTTTCTCCAAATAAACAGTAGATGTGTAGCTTCCCCTCCCCCTCCTTCCCCTTGCAATTTCGCGGCACATTAATGGGATTTTGGTTGGTTGAGCAGTTGATGGCTTTGATTGGAGAGCAATTTGATGAGACTGATGAGATTTGTGGTGTGGTGGCGAGTGTGCGCCCAAGGCAGGACAAAATTTCACTATGGACCAAGACAGCTGCAAATGAGGCTGTCCAGGTATGTCTCTCAAATCCTTGCTCGTTTGCCTTTCTTCTGCATTGGAATTTTCTCAGCTGTTCTGTTGTGATAACTTATGCCTCAGATACCCGGGTATATGTTATTTTGATTTATATTACAATTTCTCTACCAACCTTGACAGAAAGATTGAAATGGATCTCCTAACCCTCAAGGCCTCAACGTCTTTCCGTCTCTGTCTTCCCCATTTAAAAATGTTATTAATATTTCTCTGGAAACATTTTGACAAAAGTATAATCCCTGCGAGGTGGTTTTGCGGACAAAATGATAACCGGCCCAAGTGGACTGGAAGTTTGTTTAACGAATTACAAAAAAAAGTAAACAAATTATCATGTCTGGTGCCTTAGTGATACGAACCATGCCAACAACTTGACGAAACCCAATACCAAATCTGGAAACGATTCAAGATCTCTCAAGTTGGATGGAAACCGCGACCCGTTGCTTAACAAAGCAAGAACCTTGGTATGGTGAAGACGCCACAAACGAGTATGTAAATTCCGTTTGATAAGTCAATTTGAACGCCACAAGGAATCCTTGATAGGTTCGGAAAAAGTTTCTTCAAGAACTCAAGAAGAATATCTCACAATATGAATAAACATCAAAACTGTTTTGCATTATCTGAAAGTCAGTCTTAAATAGCCGAAACTTTCATGAAGAGTTTTTAATTGTAAAAGTCTTAATCTACCCTTAATGAGATAAACACGCCTAAAATAAAACCTAGGAAGGAATCCGAATTTGACTCAAAATATCCTTCCTGCTAAACACGCCTATAACAAAATTTAAATTTTAAACTGAAACTTAAAACTAAAAAATAGGATTATAATGAAATCAAATCTTGATCTGCAATCTTGACTTGATCCCTTGTTGGAAAACACGCCCACATCTGCTCGGACTTCCCCTTGCATGTGTATCCCGGAATGACATGCAAGTTGGCCATGCAATGGCTCAATGGACGTGTATGACTGATTGACTGTTTTCCGGATCAACTTTGATGAGTAAAACCAGCCTTTGTTCACCCTCAATTGTGAACATTCTCTCTTCTTGTTGTAGAACTCTCCAGACTAGGTTATTCAACTCTTCTTTGAATCTTTTAGCTCGATTTCTCGTCACCGGACCAACTGAGACTTGAATTGGATCGTGAGTATTACTTGTATCCCTGATGTCCTTATCATTCCTCCCCTCTTGAGAAGGATTTGTCCTCAAATTATCACCTACATCAAAAGGACTCAAGTCAGTAACATTGAAAGTAGCACTAACATTGTAATCACCAGGTAAGTCATGTCTATAGGCATTGTCATTGATCCGTTCTAACACTTGAAAAGAACCATCTCCTCTAGGTAGTAACTTAGAACGTCGTTGTGTCGGAAATCTTTCTTTCCTCATGTGTAACCACACCGAATCACTGGGCTCAAAAATCAAGCTTGTGACGTCCCTTGTTAGCTTGCTTGATGTATTGTTCGGTTCTTCTCTCTATGTTGAGCCGTGCCCTCTCATGGAGTTGCTTCACAAATTTTGCCTTTTTTGTACCATCTAAGTCCACATGCTCGGAAACAGGTAAAGGTGATAAATCTAAAGGAGTTAAAGGATTAAAACCATAAATAATTTCAAACGGTGAGAACTTAGTAGCAGAATGAATGGTACGATTATAAGCAAACTCAACATGTGGTAAACAGTCCTCCCACGTCTTAATGTTTTTACTAATGACAACCCTCAACAAAGTGGATAAAGTCATATTAACTACTTCTATTTGACCATCGGTTTGAGGATGACAAGTAGTAGAAAATAAAAGTTTCGTTCCCAATTTTCCGTATAATGTCTTCCAAAAGTAACTTAAGAACTTAGCATCCCTATCTGACACGATTGTCCTAGGCATACCATGTAACCTCACAATCTCCCTAAAGAATAAATCTGCAACAAGAGAAGCATCGTTAGTCTTATGACAAGGAATAAAATGAGTCATCTTAGAAAAACGATCTACAACCACAAAGATTGAATCACTCCCACGCCTACTCCTAGGTAAACCCAAAACAAAGTCCATTGAAATATCAATCCAAGGTGAACTAGAAATAGGTAGAGGCGTGTAAAGGCCATTCGGCTGAACCCTCAATTTAGCTTGCCTACAAGTGACACACCTACTACAAATTCTCTCAACATCTTGTTTCATGTGTGTCCAATAGAAGTGCTCTTGCAACATAGTTAGGGTTTTAGCGACTCCAAAGTGTCCCATTAATCTCCCACCATGGGATTCCCGAACTAACAAGTCTCTCATTGAACGATTAGGTACACATAACTTATTCTCTCTAAACAAGAAGCCCTCATGCCTATAGAACTTACCCCAGCCTTTTCACAAGCTCTATAAACTCCCCCAAAGTCGTGGCCATCATGATAAAGTTCCTTAATGTGTTCAAAACTAAGGAATTTAGCATCAAGAGTAGATATTAAGACATACCTGCGTGAAAGTGCGTCCGCAACCACATTTTCCTTACCTTGTTTATACCAAATGACATAGGGAAAAGTCTCAACGAATTCAATCCATCAAGCATGTATCTTGTTCAGCTTTTATTGACTTTTCAAATGCTTCAAGGATTCATGATCCGTACGAATCACAAACTCCTTTGGCCACAAGTAGTGCTGCCATGTCTCTAGAGCTCGAACCAATGCGTACAACTCTTTGTCATAAGTGGGGTAGTTAAGTGCAACCCCGCTTAGCTTCTCGCTAAAGTACGCACGTGGTCTCCCATCCTGCATAAGAACGCCGCCTATACCTACACCAGAAGCATCACATTCGATTTCGAACGTTTTAGAAAAGTTAGGTAAAGCAAGTAAAGGAGCATGAGTAAGCTTATGTTTAATAAGCTGGAACGCCTTCTCTTGTTCTTCACCCCATTTGAACGCAACGTTCTTCTTGATAACTTCGGTAAGCGGTATAGTGATGGTGCTAAAATCTTTCACGAACCTTCTGTAAAAATTAGCAAGTCCATGAAAGCTTCTAACATTACCTACATTGGAGGGGGTCGGCCACTCTTGGATGGCTTTGATTTTCTCTTCATCAACCTCAATTCCTTTAGCACTCACAACAAAACCTAGGAAAACAAGCTTATCGGTGCAGAAAGTACACTTTTTGAGATTAGCATATAACTTCTCCTTTCTAAGCACCTCCAAAACCGAATGTAAATGTGAAACGTGATCATGCAAACTCTATACAAAATAAGAACCTTGGTATGGTGAAGACGCTACAAACGAGTATGTAAATTTTGTTTGATAAGTCAAGTTGAACGCCACTAGGAATGCTTGATAAGTTCGGAAAAAGTTTCAAGAACTCAAGAATAATATCTCACAATATGAATAAACATCAAAACTGTTTTGCATTATCTGAAAGTCAACCTTAAATAGCCGAAACTTTCATGAAGAGTTTTTAATTGTAAAAGTCATAATCTACCCTTAATGAGATAAACACGCCTAAAACAAAACCTATGAAGGAATTCGAATTTGACTCAAAATATCATTCCTTCTAAACACGCCTATAATGGAATTCAAATTTTAAACTGAAACTTTAAACTAAAAAATAGGATTATAACGAAATTAAATTTTGATCCACAATCTTGACTTGATCCCTCGTTGGAAAACACGCCTACATCCGCTTGGACTTCCCCTTGCATGTGTATCCCGGAATGACATGCAAGTTGGCCATGCAATGGCTCAATGGACGTGTATGATTGATTGGCTCTCTTTCGGATCAACTTTGATGAGTAAAACCAGCCTTTGTTCACCATGAGTTGTGAACACTCGCTCTTCTTGTTGTAGAACTCTCCGGACTAGGTTATTCAACTCTTCTTTGAATCTTTTAGCTTGATTCCTCGTCACTGGATCAATTGGGACTTGAATTGGATCGTGAGTATTTCTTGCATCTCTGATGTCCTCATCACTTAGACAATAGTCAATAGCTACTCGCTAATAAAGAAGTTCCCACAAAAATATTTACATATATACAATGGACGAGATACTAAGAACAAAATAATAAATGTAAGGACCGGAAGTTTTTTTTTAAAAATAAGTGTACAAAATTATCATCTGGTGCCTTGGACAATAGCTACTGTCTAATAAAGAAGTTTCCACATAAAATTTTCGTACAAGTCATGGATGAGATACTACGAAAAAAATAACCCAATAAATATAAGGACGTAGTCTTCTTATTGGAACACTCGCTTAATTCCCCAATCCTATACAGTTTTTCAACTGTTTTCTTTGACGGCGCTGTTATAAAATTGCATCTTATATCTGGTCTTTGAATGTCCACTTCGACAAGTATCTTATTTGAAATGTTCACTTGGACTGAAACTCGTCTTGTTTACTTTATTGCTGGAATCAGTGACCCTGTGTGCTACTATTATATCAGGTTTATCTCTTGATCATATTTTAGTTCCACTTGACTAAATATTATAAACTATTGTGGTTGTACAGATTAGCATTGGAAGGAAGTGGAAGCAGATAATTGACTTAAGTGACAGGATCACTTACAGCTTCCATGTAAAGTTCAATCCACTGTTAATTTCTGACAATTGCACATTTTCTTCTCTGTATATCTCACTGCTTTCGTTTTTGCAGGATGATTCTAGAAGAGATAGGTCGGCGAAAGCTCGATACAATGCATGAACTGTCACTCGACGATTTTGTTGCATGGATCTCTACATGTTAGTTACTTAAATTGTTACAAATATTGGCAACTCGTTGCAGATTTTGATGTTCTGTTTACTGAGGAAAACCAAGTAGATCAAATATTTTATATGTTTTGTTTGTTAATGTAATATGGCGATTATTGGTCTTTATATTTTGATATTCACATTTTTTTTTTTTTTTTTGAAAAAGAAAACTACTAAACTGAAGTTTGATTTGTTCGTCGCCTCTCCTTTACTCAAACCTGAAATGAAGAGTTGAAATCGGCTCATTGCTAGGTTTTTCCTGTTCTAGTCTCCTATTAGGGATGCAAAAGAGCCGATTTACCATTATTAGTTTCTAGATCTCTCTGTTCCCGCCAACCCTTTCTTATTACTCTACCTTGTAGACAATTGCAACCAATCGTTAGATTTACCCTTTGTTTATTGGATTATTCTCATTGGTATCCTGACTATTGAAGTCAATAGTCATTTTTATTTTGTCTCTTAAACTTTAAAAGTTCTCATTTTGTCGCTTAAATTTTAAATTTATCATATTTAAACCCTTTTGTAAGAAAAAGAGGGGTAAATATGGTTATGTAGTTTTTATCTGTTTGTTTTTAGCATAAATTCATTAAGAAAGGCCACATTATTATCTTTTTTTTTCAATATGTTTTTAACAGAAATTACAACATAAGGGTTTAAGTGGAAGCAATTCAAAATTTAGGGGGTAAAGTGGGGTTTTTTTTTTAAGTTTTAAGGCAAATTAAGAATGACTTTAAAATTTAGAGACATCAGTGATAATAATTTTTGTTTATATTAAAGTGTTTAGGATGAGAAAAAAAGAACGATATTGTGTTGTTTGTAAATTGAAAATGTGAGAAGTTTTGTAAACTGAAAATTTGGAAGGAATGAAAATATTGAAATGTGAAAGAAGTTTTGTAAACTGAAAATTTGGAAGGAATGAAAATATTGAAATTCTTTTTTGTTTATTATAATCATTTTTTTATGGTCATTAAAAATAATGGATTTCCGTTTCCATCCCTTTTTTTTCTATATTAGAAACCTGGGGTCGTTCATTGGAACAAAAAGCAATACTTGACTCAATTATGCTTAAGAGGATGGGATAATAGTTTCACCCCCCACTATCCTTCAAACCTCAAATGCCGCACAATTTATTGACCGGACAAGAACCTTACAGTAGCAATATGAAGTATCGAACTTTAAACTTATTATGAGAGAAGAAAGAAATGCATTCTAATTAGTGCATCATTCTGTTGGTGGGAATTTTAGTCTCTTCCAATGACTTTGAGTGAATGAATGACAATCTTACTTGTGTATTTCATCTAAAAGTATACGATTAACTTTGCATAGATCTTTCCCTCTATTTTCTTTTTCAGATGATTTTGCTACAAAAAATCTATCAACGTTTAAACATGTCCATTTAGCTGAATGAAAAAGCAGGCAAAAAAATCTGCACTTGGATCTTCTCCCCAAGCTTCTGCTTAAGAGTGAAAAGGCAATTGCAAACATTTAAAAACCAGGAAAAAAAAAGTGGCATTATGGCTGCGTTTTTAGCCTTCATTATGTATGATTAAAACACTAAAATTAACATCTCTGGCTCTAGCAGTTTATTGATTCTGAGTCCAATGTTGAACGCTAATCGCTTTGAGATACCATTAAGTAATGTGTTCTGATTTTATTTTAATAATCTGAGAAAGATAAGTATTACAAACTGAAGAATGATACGGTTCAAGCATATATAAGAAGAGGGGGAAAGAGAGAGAGTTTTGATTCTGGACCGGAAGCCAGGAGAACAAAAATATCTACATCAGAAGATCAGTCCTTGGAAAGACCTCTGAAATCCTTAAACAATTCTCAACGAGAGAACAAAACATGGGACTGCAATTCATCATGCAAGGAACCCCAACCTTTCTCCATTTTTCTTGGCCAAACGAATAAGCCCTTGTCGTTGTTTCGGATCGGCGCCTATGGATTTGCAGAACTCGGTGATTACCTGGCCAGAAAAATAACTGGATGTCAAAAAAGAAATCCCTTATGAAGAGCCCAGCAATATGATTAATACTTGATACTTGGAAATATAATAGTATTTCTTGGCTTTAAATAGGTCAAACGTTGTTTTATGATGGTATCATTTAGTGTCAAAATTTTGTGAGAATTATTTGCTTTCAACAGGTGAGGTATCTATTTGTTTAGAGAGCTTTTTTGGTTTCCACACAACAGCCTTGAACTAAAATTGACCAGCCATAGCCTTGTTGATCCAAAATCAAACAAATATGATTGAAAGTTTTGCAAGACCAAAATAAAAATATTTTTAGTATTAAGTCTCTTTCGTTTTATAGTTGCAAAATATATTTTGCATGGGGTCCTAAAAATAGGCAATTTATGTAAATACTTCACTTTCTTTTACCAGGTAAAACTGAACCAAAACCAATATTCATCACGAACTAAGCATAATGTTAATAAACAAAAAACGTGTCATCTCTACCTAACCAAAACAACAATATAATAGTTTTGTTTTTTATTTCAGTCAAGTGAATTATATCTTATTATCCAATACAAGGGAAAATTCCATAATAATATTTATTACCTGTGAGTGTAAAGCAATAGCTTTGCCCCTAAGTTGATTGAAACGTTTCTTCCCAATAATTTGGCGCGTGACAACAACAATAGGCGCAAAGAGACCCTTTCCTTCATTGACGTTCTTCATCATGGGCTGTGATCTTATTGGCTTCCCAACCCTAACTTGTGTTGGTACTGATTTGGCTAACATGGTGTAATCTTCACCAGCCATTGAACTTCCCCAACTTCCATGGAAAGAAGAGCACAACCCAGTTGCTGAAATTGAAGTTGCCATTAGAAACTCCAAAAAAAAAAAAAAAAAAAATAAGCCCACCAAAATACAAGTTATCTAGAGCAATTCCCAGGAACAAATTTGCAGCAAGTTATTTTTACTCTCCTAGAACTTTGTGATAGATTTTCTATGTGGGTTTTATTCACTTGTGTGGAAGAAGGGATATTTTGTTGTAAATTTGAGAGCCTTGGGTTTATAAAGCATTAAGGGCCACACAAACTGGTGGCTTGGGTTTGTGTCATGGTCTCCAAACACACGTGTATTAATTGTACATTCTTATTACTTTATGGTCCCCAATTTTTTGGAGGAGATCTAAAGCTGAATTTCTAGTGGCTGTTTTCCATGGATTTGGTCCATTTGTCATCCTTCTATTAGACGTTAGGTCATGAGATGAAAAATTACTTAAAAGGTCTTTTATCGGTATTGCACTTTTCTAATAGATAGATTTAATTAAAATTATATCAAAATAATAAAAAAAATGTATGCAGAAAAAAAAAATTGATATAAATATGATGACTGAAAAATTTAAAAAAAAAAAAAAAAAAAACACTATCCATAATATATTTTTTCATTTTCTGTTGTAAAAATTTCGGAAAAAAAAAAAAGAAAAAGAAAAACAGTAAAATTTGAATGGCATGAAATAGACGGTGCAAAATAACAGAGGACTTTCATGGTTTTGACTTGGACTGTTCGTAGCCAGACACGTAGTTGCAAAATTGAAGTTTGATTTGTGTTTATAGCAGAGCTAAATCTACATGTGAACAAAACAGTTGGTGCTAGGAAGTTGTAAGTTGGTGAGAAAGTTAATAGGAATTTTCGATGGTGCTAGGAAGTTGAAGTTTAGAAGTTTAGAAGGTTCTGAGAAATAATTTTGCTTTCTCATGAAAGCGTCTGATGGGCATCACATTTGGCGTTTAGAAAAACCTAGAAAGAGTATTCAATTTCAATAAAAGATTGTAGGATAAAAAATACAGAGAGAAAAAAAAATCTGCAACTTAAAATGTGGACCACAAATTCGACTGCTTTCAACACCTCAACAAAGAATAGTAATAGAGGGGCATTCGGTTCATGTTGCTCGTACGGGATGCCCGGCCGATCTAAGTTAAAGAAGGGTCGGTCGCAGCCTGGCTTAGAAATTTAGGCCAAGCCAAGATAAAGACAACATTGAGGGGTCTTAATTCATATTAAATTTACAGTTCTAAATTTGATAAATCTTATTTATCATTTATTTATCTATTTATAAAGAATTTAAGTTGTTAAATTAATTAAAAAAACTACAGGAGAATTAGAACAATTTTGTTCTTAATATTTAGTCATTGAAATTTCCAAAAAAAAAAAAAAAAAAGGCCATTAATTTCAATTATGATTTTTAACCAAAACATTATACCCTGACCCTAACTTTTTTAACTCATGATGTAAAACGACTAAGTACCACTAAAGAGCACGTTAACTAAACATACATAAAAACGTCATTTGCGGACTCGGGATCATTTTCTAATGCAAAGAGAGACTTTTGTCATTTAGAAAACATTAAGGTTTGACTAACGAAAGAACGGCTCTGTAATTTAAGAGAGATGTTGATGTAAATAATTCGGTTAGATAAGTGTCTCTGTAATTGAGGGGGGGCTTAATAGAAAGTACCAAAAAGTAATTATCAATCACATTACTTATTAACGAATCCATTGCTAGCTCAAAATTTTGGTAATTATCGATCACATTACTTATTAAGAAATCCATTGCTAGCTCAAAACTTATTTAGTATAATTAATCTATGTTTGATTCTTTTAAAAAAAAAAAAAAAAAAAAAAAAAAAAAAAAAAAGAAGCCAAATGGCTTTTTACTAATCTTTTACATTAGTTTCTAAAAAAATATCTTCTTTAAATAGTTTATTTCATGTATATATATATAACATGTGTATATTATCATTGCAATATATGTATGCATATTTACATATATTATATTAAAAAAATTTAAACTAGAATTGTAGGAGTTTTTCCTTGAAGATAACATCTCCAAAAATTGGCTTATGCCACTATCTATGGCGAGCACATGGTATTCTCTAGTAAAATGCGAAAGAATGGCTCACTCTGTACTCACCACATGGCTGCGTTGTTTGGTAGATAGGCTACCATATCATTTTATAGCCAATCTTTCATTGAATTTCTTTGATCATTTCTTATGTGGGACTATTAAAAAGTGAAAGAACTGTCCGTTTGATTCGTTGGTATGAATTATTTTGATTTAAATTTTTTTTATTTAAACAGAAAAATTAGAACAATGTAATTTAAACAGTAGTGCGAATTGATGTTCGGTTGTGTATTTAAAGTTTTAATTTAAACAAGAAATATAATTTAAATTAGCGTTTATATGACAATTGAGAACTATAGTTTGAATTGAAAAAAATAATAATATAATGCATAAGAAATAATACAACACCTACAAATTTATTAAAGAAAACTTTTCTAAATAATAATTAAAACTATTTTGTCATTTTTTAATTGGTTAGCAATTTTTAAAAATAAAAAAAAATGAGATAGTGCATAAAAGATAATACAACACCAAAAATTTAATTTAAGAAAAATTATCTATATAATAATTAAAATTTTTTGTAGGTGTTTTAAAATTTCGTAGCATTTGTTTTTTGCTTTTTTTGAATTTTTTTTCATTGTTACTAATGCCACTCATTACACAAATAGGGAAATAGGTGTGTCCAAATCAGACCAAATATAATAAGGGAGAAAGAGAGAAATATGTCAAGACTTAGATGAATTAAAATTAATAGCCTAATAGTTTATATAAGTTAATAAATAGGTCAAATTATTATTTTCGTCCATAACTTGTCTAGTTATGAATTATAACTTGACAAGTTATTGTCCATAATTGTCCATAACTTGTCTGACTATAAACCATAACTTGACAAATTTATTTATAATTTATCTAGTAATAAATTATAACTTATTAAATTATGACATATTAATTTTTATAATTAAAAATTAACTTATATATTTTCTTAAACTTTTCATATTAGCCTATTTTCTACTATTTCCCGTATAGTAACGGCCAAAAATTTTGGAAACTCATTACTGAAGGCCCAAATGTAACGGTCACTCAATACACAAACAGCCAAATCAGACTTGTGGGCCCAGTAAAAAAAGTCAGAATGTCGATGTGTTTTTTACTGTATAAGAGTGGTTTTAAATGTTGAGTAGGTGGGGGGAATTGAGTAGCCCATTCAAGGGGTTGTTTAGTTGGGGAATTTGTATTCCGATTCAAATTATGATTCATGATTTGTTATAATATTTTTTCTCATAAAAAATACACGTAAATTAAAAATAATTCTAATCTATGAACTAAACGTCTCATTAATGCCTTACCAAACTGCAAACACAATTTAGGACACCTTTAGTTAATGTGACTTTTTGGGTGTTTAGTACAAAGATTTTTGGTTCGTGACTCGTTACAGTATTTTTTTTTCACAAAAAATATATGTAAATTGAGTGATTCTGAATCATAGATCTGAATCTATAAACTAAATGTCTAGTTTATGTGAGATTTTTACTGTAATAAAATTCAAATTTTAAACTCAAATCGGTAAAATAAACAGAGCGTTAGATTGAGTTGAGCAGAATTAGGCTGAATTATCCAACCAAGGGGTAAGTTTATTGGGCAAAGTGCCAAGACAATGCACATTAATTCTATCCAAAATTTTTCCTCTATTAACTAAAAGAGATAATTGTTAGAGTGCCAAATATTCAAAGACTAAATTACTGAGGTAAAACTTCTAACTACAAAATTGCCAAAAATTCAAATGAAACAAATGTTAAAAATCTAATTAAAAATATCAAGAAAATAACAATACTACCGTCCCATTATTATTATCAAAGCTTCGTTACTTTTCTGTGGGTTCTTCGTTTATTTCAATTACACATATTACACTTAATTCCACATCAGAAGCTATTCTTTTTTCACCAATAATATATATGCAGCAAAAAAATATGAATTTCTCAGTTCATTGATAAAGCATTTTATCATTGGCAATAATATGCAGAATTTTTAGTTATTATTTGTTATTTCCTTTCAGTATTAAATGTGAAGTTTTTGGCTAAATAATTTATGCATTTACTTTCCAATGTATGTATTAATGCTTTACTATCCAATATTATATATTTTGTTACATATTTTTATATTTATTTTACTATCCAATATTATATATATTAACACTTTACTATCCAATATTATATATATTAACACTTTACTATCCAGTTCCAGTATCATATTATTTATTATAATTATGTATTTTTGAACATTTTAAGAAAATTACATATTTGATCTTATTTGCCTTTTTAAATAATTCAATTTAATTAAAAATATTTTATTTAACATATGATTACGACAAAGTACGCATTATAATTAGAATATAATATATGAAATGAGAAACTAACTTGTTGTTAATCTTATTTAATTTCATACCATAATTTTTTAACATATTTATCCTTTTTCACCAAAAACATATGAGAAAATAATAAAATGAAGATATGTATTTCAAAAAAAAAAAAAAATACACTGGAATTATGTTGGTCTTACTCGTTTTCCTTTTTACATCCATCGTTAGTGTTTGTTTCCGCTCTGTTTTGCCATTATCGATTTTTCTTTGTATTTTATTTACGGTTGTTTTCTACACAGTCAGTCCCGTTCAATATCTTATTGTCGTTTAACTTTTCATAACGTCTCAATTATTTAAACTGCCCCCATCGTAATCTTAAATTTTACTTTCAAATTTGAAGCTCATAAAAATAATTTGAAAATCTTTAAACTCAAATTGTGGGTGTTTCCCGTGGAGAAACACCTCCAAAAATAGGCGTATGCCACTAATCGCCGCGAGCACACGGTATTCTTTAGTAAAAGGCGAAAGAATAGTTCGCTCTGTGCTCACCGCGTGGCTGCGTGGTTTAATAAAACGTCCGCTTGGCATTTTATAGCCACTCTCTTGGTTAATTTCCTTGTTCCTTTCCCATGTGGGACTTTTTATCAAGTAGTTTTCTTTTCTAAGTTAAGACTTAAAATTGCCCACGAACGCTTCAACTACACGCTTCTAACTTCACAAAGCCTATTCAATTGAACTCTGTCTCTTATGAAACCGATTATTTAGGAAAAGAGATTGCACATTTTAGATAGTTGATTTTACAGTGAGATTTATAATCTTGAATTACTTCAACTTGCTGAGGGAAAAAGCTTCGTGCACGAGTTCCCAATAGCAAATTATTCTGAATCTCTAATCTTTCAAGGCTTTTTTTTTTTTTTTTTTTTTGCTTGGATAGTCTTTCAAGGCTATTAGAAGCTCTTTTCCATTATGTTGTTGTATTTAATTTACCAAGGCTTTTTAAAAGTTAAAGTTGATGATAAAACTGTCCCAATTTCATGCTCTCTAACTTCCCCAGATCTTCACTTCCTACTGGACAATTTTCCCTCAATCCAAGTGCTTTCTTCCCCATATCATCGGCACCACCTCTTCCCTCCACGGACGACGGCAGTGGCTCCGTTTTCCGGCCAAACTGCGACGGCGACGGTGGCTGCTGGTCGGGATCTACTGGGTGTCAGCTTCATCCACGACGGCCTGGAGAGAGAGAAAGGACGGCGGCGGCGGCGATTCCGGCCACCACGGATGGCGGTGCTCCGGCCAGAATTGAGCTGTGAAAATGGATGGGGTTTCTTCGTCTCTCTGCACTGAGTCCATAGGGACTGAAATCATCTCAATCGGAGGTCGGATGGCGGAGATATCACGACGGGAAAAAATATGTATTTTCAGAACTTCTGCCGGCGATTGCGGCTGATTCCGGTGGAGTTGGAGGTCGTGCCGCATGTCGTTGAACTCGGCTCGTCGAGATCTTTTTATTGACACCGACAGTGTCAAAAACGGACGTCAGAATCTCAACTTGAGTATTTAACCATTGATGATTTTGTGACAAAACGTGAGAAAAGAGAGAGAGTGAGCGAGAATAAGAGAGAGAAAGTGAGAGCACACTAATAATTTCATTATATAAAGTGTTTGATTAAGACAAGATTACGTGTTTGATCTTATTCTCAAATATTTTATCTAAAGAGATTAAATTTATACTGATTAGAGGTAATTAATTTAATTAACGTAATTTAATTTACTATTTACAGTCTAACATTAATTTCTGAATAATTCAATATTGTTTTTTATTCTTACTCGCGTAATATTTCGAACTGTTTTAAGTCTTGAAATTAATTCTACACTGAACAAATTTTAAATTTAACTATTCTGCATTATATTTCAGGAATGACGTTGTTTATGACGGTGTCAACTTCCGAACTCACATTGTACCCTTCTACTATGGGTATTTATCTTGTGATTTTAACCTAGTTGTCTGACAATTAAGGATTTTCTCTTTTTTTAAAATGTCAGTGCGTTTTTTTAATACGTTGCTAACATCGTGTTGTGTTTGGAGATTCTTAAAATTAAAATTCTCAAACTATACTTGTACTGAAAATTATTCCGCCTTAAAATACGGTTAGAATTTACCGATCGAATTTACTTGATCGAAAACATGAACTTAACATGAAATCTGCTACAGAATTTAGGAATACAGATATTAATTCCATAAATCATCCAGTTACAAATATAACATAATATTTTCTAAGAAAATCCTTAGCTTAAATACATAAATTGTATTATTTAAGGTCTAAAATTTTCTCAGTCATTACATCATTTTTGTGATTGATATTGATCTTTAGATTCATAATCACCTAGTCTCTGTATATAATGAAGACTAGCATAGCTTCATCATGTGTCCAATTTGAAACTTGTTTCTCTCTTATGAACAAAAATATCTTGAACCTCTCTCTCTCCTTTTGTTTTTGTTTTTTTTTTGTTTTTTTTTTTTTTGTTTTTGCCACTTTTTGAAGCTATCAAGATTCATGATATATTCAATATGTTTAATAGAATGTCAACGTAGGATAACAAATTGAACCTCTTGTATTCTAAGGTAGAAGAACATATACGTATTTGGCTGGCATTCGATGCATGAAGCACTTGAAAAATTATTGTTACCATGAACAAAGCTATATCTAAAGTTATATGATTTCAATATCTAACTTGAGTCACAAAATGGCTAATGTGTATAAATGGAAGAGAGATTAATCTAATTTGGTATATCTCAGTGATGAAGAAAAGCTTGAAATTTTCCACCAACCTCAACAAAAAAGCCTGAATCCGCTGATCTTGATGCAGAAAGAGATTCTCTTGATCTTCTTATCAAAGTTTCCACAACTTCGTCTTATGATATTAAACTTGAGTAGTTTGACTGACCAGCTTTCTGACCAACTTAAGTTGAGCATTTTTCTAGAAACAGGCAGTCAGGTTAGTAGGACTAAAACGTTAATGAAATTCATCACTTTGCTGCAGAACGTAATAGGATCTGTGGAAAATCAATCACTGCGTTATTGTACATGAGTTTATTGCAGAAGCTAAATACAACGTTTCTTATTTTTGTGGCAAGCATACCTTGAACCTGGAACATGCAGGAGCTGCAATTTCAGTAAGTAACATTACTAATCTTGTGTTGTTGAAATTTGACTCTATTTTTTACGTCCGAAACTAGTTTAATTGACTGTATCGGGGTACTATTTCCAATTTGAAAGCCCTTTTTTTATGAAGGAAAAGGAAAAAGAAAAGAATGTAGCATACACTAGCATCGTCTAAGTAAAATAGTCCCAAGTAGCTTTGGTTTAAAGGTCTTGTTTGGTAGGAGGGGAAAGTAGGAGGAGGGATAGGGGTAGGAGGATTATTGGATAGACAAAATAAGAGGAAGCTCCTCTGCCTATATATATTACATGCTTCTTCCATCCTATTTTCTTTCCTCTATAGACAGTCAGGTTGTTGGTTCATAACCTGAATTACTCCTTCCAACTGCTGAATAAAACCTCTCGATCATCCACATATCGATCAATGTCACTGTTTGGTAAAACCAACGAGTATGAAACAGGCCTGCTAATATTGGAGGGAGAACTTTCAGTATGAAACCTTTAGGGCCCGTTCACTTCACTGATTCGAGTTTGTAATTTAAGTTGAGATGTGATTTTATGTGAGAGCTTTTTACTGTAGCAAAAAAGTTTGATGTGATTGTTTCTGAGACTTTTTACTGTAGCAAAACTCAAATTCTAAACTCGAATCGGTGAAGTGAACGGAGCCTAAAGTCTTGTTGTGAAGCCAACAACAATTCGAGTACTTCTCACTGTTGCACTGGCCAGAGATTGGTGTATAAGACAACTGGATATTAACAATGCCTTTTTCAATGGTGACTTACTAGAAGAGGTCTATATGATTCAACCACAAGGATTTGAAGATCTTAAACAACCTCATTTTGTTTGCAGACATCATAAGTCTCTTTATGGTCTCAAACAAGCTCCTAGAGCCTGGTTTGACAAGTTAAAAGGTGCTCTTTTTTACTCTGGGTTTTGTTTCCTCAGAGTCAGACTAGTCCCTGTTGATGAGGTTTCATTCTCAAGATGTCACTTTTGTACTAGTGTATGTTGATGATATTTTACTTACTGGAAGTGACAACATTGAGTTACAAAAGTTAATTGTGCAACTAAACAAGCTTTTTGCTTTGAAGGATAAGGGAGTTGTGAACTACTTTTTCGGAATTCAAGTCACTCATACCACTGATGCTATACATCTTCCACAGAAGAAATATGTTTCAGATCTACTTCATGAGGCTAAGATGCTAAGGCAATTTTAACTCCAATGACAGCAGGTTTCAAGCTTTCGGGTTTTGGTAGTGATGATGTGTTGAATCCTCAATTGTACAGGAGCATTGTTGGAGCACTGCAATATGTAACTATTACAAGACCTGAGCTATCCTATTCTGTTAACCGAGTCTGTCAATTTATGCATAAGCCTCTTGAATCTCATTGGCGAGCTGTGAAAAAGACTCTATGATACTTGAAAGGAACACTAGATTTTGGTCTTTAGTTGCAGAAAACTCCTCAGCTTAATTTGGTGGCCTTCTGTGATGCTGATTGGGCCTCTGATCCTGATTACAGGAGATCCACTTCTGACTATTGTGTTTATCTAGGCTCTAATATTGTTTCTTGGAGCTCAAAAAAATAACATACAGTTTCTAGATCCTCCACTGAAGCTGCTGAGTATAGGAGCTTGGAAAATGTTGTGGCAGAAATTACTTGGTTGATGCCTCTATTTAAGGAGCTCAAAGTTAAATAAATAAATAAAAGTGATGAATAAAAACTCGTAGGTTATGGTCACCAGCAAAATGAAATGGTAGGCCGACTTTCTATAATGAGCCACTAAAACAATCACCTAACGTGATGAAAATAGTGTTTTTTTTTTTTTTTTTGGATAGTTGATATAGTGAAAATTCGACTTAAAAGCTTTGAGAAGACATGAACAGACCGCTTTATTTTTCGAACTTGCTGAAGCTAAAGATTTGCACTTTCTTCTATTTAGTTCATATAATCGTCGTTTTCTCCCCCCCCCCTTTTTTTTTTTTTTGGCAAGATTTCCTTTTTTCTTCGGTCATTGATTACTTATGTTAATTAGTTGATGCTTAATGTTGATGAGTGACATTACATAGCTTCATTATATGCCAAACAGTTTCGTTGGAAATGCTAGAGATTACGAAATTTAAACAACAAAGTCTTGAATCTCTATTTATATAACAAATCAATCATCTTGTAAATTAATTTGGCAGAAAGTCAAGGTATTTAGTTGCAATGAAAGCATGAAGCATTTGAAGAATTATAAATGTTACCTTGAAAAAAGCTACAATGATCTTAGCATCCTAGTCACAACAACGGCTAACGTGCATTAATGGTAAAGAAATTATTCTAATTTGGCGTATCCCATTGAAGAAGAAAAGCTTGGCATTTTCAACCATCGCCGACGGAAACGCCCGAACCCTCGGATCTTGATTCGGAAGCGAATTCTCTTGATCTTCTTACTCAAGTCTCCACATCCTCGTCTTATGATGTTAGATTTTGATAATTTCCCCAGCTTTCGCATGAACCTACGTCCTGCATTATGAAACAAGTTATTTCCTTTGCTACAGAAGAAGAAAATAATAGGACTTGTGGAAAAATCAATTTGTTCTTTAACATGAGTTAATTTCAGAAGCTTAATAGATTATTTTCAAAATTATTGTGGCAAACATACCTTGAACCTTTTTACTTTTGTCTTCTTTTTCTTCTGAGCTTGGTGCATGCAGGACCTGCAAGTATATTAGGTATCATTATATTAATGAAACAATTTCCGTCTTTGTTGCTACTTCGATACATCTTGTTTTTTTTTTTTTTTTGTTTCCGTCTTTAATAATTTCTATTTTTGTATATTTCCGTGTTTCATATGTAATTTAAATTTAGTATTCATTTTTATAGTGATGACGGATTTTCATTCGATAAAGTTTGTATTCATTTTTTAGTTCAACAGCGGGGGATAATGGTATCACACTCATTGATGTTGTGACACAATTCTTTTTGGATTATGTTTCTTACCTGTAGATTTTATACTATAAAACTTACTTTTTATTAGTGGGTGATGCCAGTATCCTAGAGCATTCTTCCTAATATTTACTATCAAATTAACTCTAAGAAAAATGAACTAAAATTTGGTTTGGTTCTAAGGTTGTTGGTTGAGTACCTGAACCAGTCCTTCCAAGCGCTTTCTCATCCTTCTTTGAATAAAACCTCTAGTGCTCTGTTTGTAGAAACTTAATTGTCAGCCAAAGAGATGATAAATCTTGACAAATACTTTAAAAGTGCGTAATCTTGATTTTTACCTTTTTATTCTTGATTAATATCTTTTTTAATCAAATAATTATATAAATAAAAGGGTACTAATCAATAATTGGGGATAAAACTCTAGACTCACACACTTTTAAGATTAAGTTCAACAATTTTCTCTAACTTTTTTTTCCTCCCTTTTTTCTCTAGCTCTTTCCATGAAAAACAAATGGTGGAGATATTTTTACCTTTACATGGTATTTAACGCAAGCAAAGAAGTTCAATAAGCTCCAGACAGTTTTGTCTAGCCGTCTGCCTTCCACATGACTTGAAGATATATCTGCACGTGATTAATGTTGAAACAAGAATTGTGTTTAGTTTTAGGCCCCGTTCATTTTGCCGATTCGAGTTTATAATTCAAGTTTTGTTACAGTAAAAAGCTCTCAGAAACAATCACATCTAACTTTTTTGTTACAGTAAAAAGCTCTCACACAAAATTACATCTCAACTCGAATTACAAACTCGAATCAGCGAAGTGAACGGTCAATCTCAAACTCATCTGGTATGAGGAAAAACCCAACCTAACATATGGTGGTGCAGACAGATATTATTATTATTATTTTCAGCGGGGACATTATGAAAAAAAAGTTTATACAATCTTTTGCTCAGCAGGGACGTGGTATATAATTTAATTATTCAATAAGGGCACAATTATATTTTTTTTTAATACAGCGGGGCATGATTGAAATTTAATAAAAAATTTCAGAAAAAAAAAAAATGAAACTTTCAAAATTTAAGCGCGGGCTTGTACTCCTCTCACTTGACTACGCCTCTACCATAAATTTTTATTAGTGGAAATAATAATTACAATAAATATTAAAACATATGCAAGTCTTGGCATATTTATTCTCAAACTTGGCTGTTTCATCATTTTTTTCCTATAAAATGTTTATCTACTCTAAGGAGTTATTCATATTTTGATTAATTTGCTTACTACTATTTTTTTTTTTTTTTCAGCCTGTGGTCAATAATAACTTTAGAATTTAATTACATTGTGGTCTAACTGGTTCGAACTTTGGAAACTGCATTTAAAATGTGGAGAACTATGAGAATACCAAAAGAAACAAATCCTCCATTGGTGCTTAAATCTTCAAAGAGTTCTCCTCTCAATTCTGGAGGTGGAATGGGTGACCAACTACATGGAGGTGCTTTGGCCCATTTTTCGGAACTTCCTACATCCGTGAGTTCCTGTGCCCAAGTGGGGAAAAAAGATAAATCTATTATTTTTATTTGTACCTAGTAATTAGTATAGTAAGCTACCAGGGCTCATTTAGTTCATTGATTCGAATTTTTAATTCAAGTTTAGATGTGACTTTATGTGAGAGTTTTTTTACTGTAGTAAAAAAGTTAGATGTGACTGTTTCTGAGAGTTTTTTACTGTAACAAAATTTAAATTTAATTCATGTTCTTTTGTTTTGTTATTGGGTCATATCTGATAAAAATAACTCAATTTAACGATTCGGATTGATTTCTCCATCACCGGCACAAAATATATTGGACACACGGTACGACTAGAAAAAAGACTAGACCACCCTAATTTTGACATAAATTTCATGGTTAATGGGAATGTCTAATCCTACAAACCTGAAAGAAGGCTGTTGCAATGGTCACATCTGAATTGTCTTTGAAACGCATTGGGAATACTGTTACGATTTTCTGTGGCTGCCAAAAATACATGAAACTCCATTAAAAAAAGACATGAAACTCTTTTTATTTCATCTGGAAATGCGGTAAAAAGGAAATAACTTTCAAAGAGAATTTAGGTTTCAAAATTAAATATATATTCATTAAAGAGCCACTGAAGAACTAGGATACAAGATAACACCAAAATAAAAGAAATGGGTCCCACTCATTAAAATAATGACTATGTAACAAGAATAGTAAAATTTAATACCATTAAAATGATGATTATATCATTATTTAGTAAAAAACGTAACATTATTATGATAATTACTATGCCATTTATGTTAATTTTCTAATATTTTAAAAATTTTGTTAAATTTCAACTCAAGGTATAAAATTTTGTTGTGTAGTGTAATTATCTCCTTTGTTTGCCCCCTTAACTATAGTTGCATTCTTAGATAGTTTGATTTTCCCTTAAAGTTTCATAGACTAGATCAGAAGATATTGTCTCCAATATAAATTTTAATGCTAGTGTTATTTTAGCATAAAAAAAGTGTAAAAAGAGCATATTTTTATGTTGTATTATTTTGTAATCATTGATATAATAATATTCAAAATACTAATTATATATACACTTTGTTATACGAGTTAAGTTTCGGGAAAATTTAAAATGCTTGTATGACTGAAAAATATTAATAGTATAATTTATTAAGCGAAAAGACAACATATTAACCATTAATAAATTAATTATTAATTCCGCATATTATATTTGATGTTAAATTTGACACCATTTATAGTGTATCATTTAACATTATACTTAGGATGTGTTTGTTTCAAGGGTTCTATATGGTTCAAATCATGATTTTTAATTCTAGTACAGTATTTTTCTCTCAAAAAAAATTTGAATTTCAAATGTTAGAATCATTAATCATGGTTTGAACTCATAAACTAAACGGACCCTTAATTAACATTGATTATATATTTTTCTTATTCAAATGCGATAGTTTGGCATTGCTCGGAGATGCTCTAATTACTGAGTGGAATTTACCTGTTTAATGACAAAGAATGGTTCTCTTGGGTGGTATACAAGCTTAATTGGTTTACACGCTCCTTGATAGGTGTCCTGTGAATTCACATTCTGCAACATCTCTTTCAGCTGGGAGCTTATTATTACTGCTTGCACTGCAGAAGTCTTTGCAATTATCTTCTCACCATCTGTAATGATCGCAGTTTTTAATCGTTAGATTAAATTTTCATACTCTTTTTTTAATTTGATATGATTTTAATATAATTTAATATGTATTATGTCTACATATAGTATATATTTTCGTACTCTACTACAGAATTCATGGCTTCCAAAATCTACGAATATCAACTCTAAAATAATGATGTACTAGTTATTTTTCCTGCACTATATTAGAATTTAGAAGCCTTGAGAAACCTTTTTTACTGGGAATTTTGGCAAAGTCAAGTCTTAGAGTAAGCTGGTATCCTTGTTTTGCAGGCTCAATGATCTCCACAACATCAGAACAAATTCCCTCAACCATCTGAATGGTATAATGTGAGAGCCCACCTTGGGACAGTAGTGGGGTTGATATTGATAAGAAGGTATATTGTGGATCTGATGCTGAGGACTGTTAAAACATCACAGGACAGTTAACGTTGACAACCACAAAAACAAAGTAAAACACGTAAGCAAAAATTGTTTTTTATTTACCCATGAAACTTGTTTACACAGGATGTTCATAACAGAATTACGATACGATTTATTATTTTAGAACAATGTACTGGGTACTGGCCGTGCTGAGTACCACATAGTAATAAAAGATGAGTCTTACAGTATAAGGTTTACAAACGAGACTCATTTTCTGTAACATCTAGTTAAATTAATTGAGATTAATTAATTAAATCCAATAGTTAGTATTAATTAATCTGAGATTAGTAAAAGATTCTCAGTTATAATTATCACGTAAATGATATTTCTCTTTTAAAAATGATTATTTTAAAATTGACACTGCTGTTTCTCGAACAGTTTTAAGTGTTGGTAACTAATTTTTCAGAACATTAATAATGAGTCATTTCATATTCTATTTAAATTAAATTTTAAAGTCTAATTATCAAATTTGTACAAAATAAACCCAAGCCTATTTTCCTTTCTTTTTTTCCTTTTTCTCTCCTCTCTCCCTCCCATGTTCTTTCTCTCTCCACGCCGGCCACCTACCACTGATGAGATTCCAGTGTCGTTTTGCGATATTGCCCACACCATGGGAAAGCTCTTGACGAGCTAAGCACGTTGACATGTCGCACGACCTCCAACTCCTTCGAACGAAGCCGCAATCGCCGACTGAAGTTCTGAAAACAACCAAAGATTTCGATTGTGATATCTCCTCCGTCCGACATCCAATCAAGGTGATTCCAGTTCCTATAAATTCAAAACGAAGAGACGAAAAACACCCATCCTTTTTCACAGCTCGATTCTGGCCGGAGCAATTCCGTCCATGGTGGCCAGAGTTCCCGCCGCTCACCTCCTTCCCGGCCGTCATTTTTGACACCGCCAGTGTCAATGGACTCAGAGAAGAACACTGAGCAAAACCCCTATGTCAATTTCACGGGTCCACTGCCATTTGCCAGAGATCGAAGCTCGCCGCCGCCGCCGTTTGGGTGGAGGGCGGTTCTGATGATCCAACCGTTGGATCGTCATGATTTTGGTGTCTAAATGCTCAGAAGATCATGGGTAATGAAAGCCCTCAACCAATTTTGAGATTCCGTAGTCGGAGAATCGAGAACCAAGTCCCCGAAAATCTTTAAAGTTGGCGTCTTGATTTGTGTAGTTAGAGTCAGAAGTTTGTGAAATTTACTGCACTATTGAACTCAGAAGAGTTGATGTAGAGGAGGTAGGACCCAAGTCCACCGTAGAAATATGCTCCGGCACTCCGCCGCCGTTGCCGCCGCTGCCGGTGGCCGGATTCTGGTAAGTCTCAGTTCTTAAGGTTCCCGACGTCCGATCGAAGATCTGAGACCATATCCTGACTCGTTTCGACGTGTTGAACGCAACGATGACCTCCGTTTATGCCAATTCCACTCCGTTGAAAAGTCTATAGGTATCATGAACGTAGATCGAGGTGAATCGAATGGCTTCGTTGAGGTTCAGAGCAAGCCATGGAGCTTCAACAATAGACGGTTGGACAACGTGAAGTTATTCGTAGATTAAATTGCCAAGAGGTAGGATATTCTTTTCATATCCTTGTTAGCCTGTTTTAAAGTGTTTTGGTCAAGTAATGTTTTCAAAAGATAAGGATATGTTGATAAAGAAAAGTAATTTCAAGATAATAGCTTGATTTTTGCTATTGACCTCATAATGGATTGATTTCAAGTTTTTAATGAACATTTTCTTAAGATAAGATACCTTGCGAACTAGTAAGCCTGCTGATGGCCTAGATAGGATATGAAGATCGTATCCTTGGGGGCAGAACCCAAAACCCAGACGGGCCACTACGGTGATGTTAAGGCCTTGCACTGATCGTAAGTAATTTAAATAATTAAATTACTTGCTGGTTGCCTGTAATCTGGAATTTCAGTTTATTTACCTTTCAGTAAAAATGTTGTTTGGTTACGTCTGAGTTGTTCGGGCCTGTACTTTCATTTATTTATTCAGTTTTATAAAATTATATCCTAGTTGGCATTTCGCTCATTTTTCCTCTATTTTCAATGTTTTAACCCCTCCCTCCAGAGTTATCGGTTTAGATTTACAGCATGACAAGTGGATGCCGATGGATTGAAGGCGTGAGATTCGAAGTAGTTAGTTTATTTTGAATTTGTAGTTTTTAATTTTGAGTTGTACTGTATTTCTTTATATAAACTGTATTTGGTCGACACTGTCCTGGAGTTGTATTATTTCAAACTTTATGGACTGTTTTAAATTTTTTTTGTAAAAGAAAGACTCCGGAGCTACATATTTTAATATCTATTTTGATATTTGTATATTTTATTTTATTTTCATGGATTTTTCTTAATTAATTCAGTTTAATGAAGTTAAATTTTAAATTAAATTCCAATAATCACGGTTATTACCTTGGGGTCGTGACACTTTCAATTAGCAGTGTGGTGTTTCTAAATATCTTTTATTGCTTTAAAATGTGCTGTGTACAGTCGTTTGAGACATTAGATGACGGCTAAATGAAACCGAATCATTGGAGTTTTTGTTTGCTAAGCCCTACTTGATAGAAAGCATTCCAATTTTCAACAGTCGGATTGGTTTAACCATCATCCAGTGGCTCAAAACAGACTGCACAGTAAATAACTCATCTTGTTGAAGCTGAAAACAGAAAAAAGTACCTGAATGTGGTATTCCACTGACCCGAATTCGTACAAGTGATGATCAATCTCCACGGGCTTTTGAGCACTGTCATATGAGAGGAACAACATTTGATCATCCAAACGCTTTAAATTTTTGTAAGATCCACTCTTTACTTGACTCTTTTGGTTGATGAAAACAATAATGTACAATATTCAAAACTAACTCTTCCATTGATACCCTTTTTGTTCCTGTCAATCCAAAGATTTTGGAATTTTCCTTTCTTTCTCTAATCACTCTTGAGAATTTGCCATTTCTAGGGTCATCCAATTTACATAAAAAAAAAAAGTCAATTGTATGGTTATGCAAGTAAATGAAGTAATTTATCCTCACATGAACAACACCCTTATATCCTACTATATTGATTTCACAATACAAATGGGGAACTTTATGTGGTAGAGATCCCATTGATAGTGCATGTTTTATAAATATTATATCTTATTAAAATCACATCAGAATGAAAAGTAAGTAAAATTTAAAGAACCCAATATCATCTTTATTGGTGGAGATTTTTTTCCCCCCTCATACCCTACTATAAAGTTTCCTAAGAATTAAATGTTGGAGTTAGATGTGACAGCAAATTGCCCATTTAGACTTTAGTGAAATGTAGGCACTGCAATTACCATATGAACAATGGTCCCATATTGGACAGGTTCATTCTGTCCATAAATTCTCCATGGGAAATTGCCTACCACCTGGAAACCACATATGTCTGTCTGCCAAAGTGCTTCTTACTATATATATATAAACATGTACATACGCGCGCGTGTATATATATTCCACAATAACATCTATTTCAGAATTACACTTTTACTAAGATTCATAAATTCATTTATTTGACTATACTTTTGCACTTGTCGTTACATTTTTTTTTCCTTGTAATCCCCCACCCCGGCATCCCACACCATCGTGTAGATGCATGGACTAATTATTCCGTGGTAGTGATCATCTCAAAAATTTGTTCATGTTAGGTAGATAGCAATTTTCTTGCTTTTAGTCTGATCGCATTCTGTTATGTAAAAGTGTCGTTTAAAGTGCAAAAACTAGAAATTTGTCCATAGTAGCAAGTTTTTTGGACTTCACTAGCTACATAACAATTTTATGGTTTTAGTCCAATCACATTCTACTATATAAAAGTGCCGTTTAAAATGCACAAACTATCACATCACTTAAAATAAAAAAAAAATAAAAATAAAAAGCAAACAAACAAAATCCTTGTGATGCTAAGCACCGAGATGGTGAATTTTAGCATTTTTTTTTCTTTCATGAAATAAGAACTTTTTTAGTCCGTCTCCTTATCAATAATACCAGTATACAACTATTAGATTTGATCAAATCACATTAAATTAAGAAAGCACGTAAAATATATAGTTTCTGATATAACTTTGCTGACTGAAAAATAAAAAACTATTTATAGTTTATTTTTTTTGATCCTATCAGAAAAATTTCCCATAAAATACTCTAACAAATATAAATTATGAATGCTTAACTAAATAAGCAGTGTAAAATAGCGAGTTAATTTTCTTACCGGTATAGTTTGAGTAGGATTTCCTTCAGTGCTGGAGATTCCCTCTCAAAGCATGCCATGCTAAGAAATGTGAATTGTACCTCTCTCTCTCTCTCTCTCTCTCTCTCTCTCTCTCTCTCTCTCTCTCTCTCTCTCTCTCTCTCTCTCTCTCTCTCGAATCACATATTACTGCTGGAATTGAAGCCTGATATACCATGTTGCAAAGATAGTACTGTTTTTTATTGGGTAAGAACTTTGAGTAAAACTCAAGTTCTCAAAGTTGCACTCAAGTTAGCAATCTTTGAAGCAAGGTTTGTCTTTGTCCTCCACTCTCCACTACACCTAATTTTCAACACCTATACAATTCATTTCAACTTTTCTTCATGGATTAATATTGATAGTCTACATTTTGGTTGTAAGATAGCAATAGTTTGTTTGTTGAGTATAATCTTTTAGCAAACGTCACGAATTAGATTCTAAGTTCACATTTGGAAAAAAAAAAAAAAAAAAATTCTTCATGTATTTATATATTTATATTTAGTCTACACCTTGGTCCAAAGATAGCAAAACTTTGTTCGTTAAGTACATATTTTTTAGCAAACGTCATCAATATTCAAAGTTGACATTTGGGAACAAATTGAAAAAGAAAAAGGAAAATTAAAAAAGAGAGAAGAAGAATAAGAATATAGCCTAACGCCATGAGTTTTAGGGGTTTTAAGAAAAATGGAGAGAAAGAAATAAAGAAATTATTACATGAAGAATTGAAGTCATTCTATTATTATATGACAATGATTTCAATAGCGACTTGCTGATAAACATATTTGTCCTACAGCCTTGACAATATGATTTTATAGTTTTACTCATGGGATTTGAGGTTTGCTAAGGACACTTGTGGCGATACTTTATAAGATTTTGCTTCTTTTTTATTATTATTATTTTTTTCTAATCTTGAATATTTACCTTTTCCAAGTAGTTCAAATTGCTCTGTTCTCATAAATAAATGAAAACGGGGTTGTAGACTTAATGTAAATTCACCCTCTATTTTACAATAATTTACCAAACTAATAATAACAACAACAACATTGATAAGAAAAAAAGAAAGAAAAGAAAAACGTCATAATAACAACATTGATAAGAAAAAAGAAAAGAAAAACGTGTGGGCTGTATTCTACAATGATTAAGATTCATTAATATTCGGTAGGTTGAGATTCCATCCTTTTCTTTTTTCTTAGAAGTGTCGAACAAGCATTGATAGAGGGCCATATTTCTATATTTGCCTCTGATTAATGCAACGCGATAATAGATAATTAAGAGATAAATAACCCCCCTCCCCCAAAGAAAAAACTCAAAAGAAGTCAATTTTTTTTTTTAAAATGATAATCAACTTGTGGTATTATTATGATGTTTCTATGATGACATGTTTAATGAATGGAACAAAAGTTTTTGGCTAAGGAAAAACAATTTTCTAAGCCTCACCCTAGAGATATCTCGTTTTTTCAACAACTTATTGTCATTCTCATGAACATCATGGCCATCATTCATTGTGAAATTGTGTTTAGCTGTAACAATCTGAAGAATTAAACATGTTTAATTATGTTAATTATGATATATTAATATGTCTAATTTGAGTTTCTTAATTAATCATGATTATTAAATATTTTCTTATCTTCAAGTTTTAAAATATTCCAAGAAATTTTAATTATTTTCAGTATTTACAATTCAACCCCAAAAGTAGGTGGGAATACATTTTTCCTTCCTCTTCTTTAAAATATCTTTTGATACTTATCATTTTCTTTTCTTTATATTTCTTTCCTTTTCTTTCTTTCTCTCATTTCTCTCTCAGATCACTCTCTCTCTCTCTCTCGTCTCACTCTCTCTCTCACTTGACTCTCTCTCTCTCTCCTTTTCTCCCTCTCAAATTCGTTACTCTCTCTCTCTCTCTCTCTCTCTCTAAGGAAAACCAAGAAGCTTTTTGACCAAAATATGAACCAAAGAAGATTTTCAAGAAGTTTTCTTCACAAAAGGAAAGATTGAGGTAAATTCTTTGAGAAATAAACTCTTAATTTTCGGATCTTGCTTTGTTGGAACGTATTTTGCTTGAGCTTGGTGATTTCTTGGTTTTGGCCTCGTTTTGAGATGAATTATGGTTGATTCCATGTTTAAATTTGGGGGTTTTAATTCTTTGAACTTGATTTAGTGAATGGAATCTGGTTTTAGTGATTTCTCATGAAAATATCTAGAAATCGAACACGAAAATGCAGGATTTGGTACTGTTCTTCGTTGATTTGGCCAATTTTTCAGGCCTGTAGAACACCTCTGGTCGACCGCTCTGGGCGGTTGACCAAGCACCACCGGTCGACTAGTGGGGTTACACTTGTCTATCACCGGGTGACCAGTTGACACGAGAAATTCTCCAAAATGTTTTAAAAACTTGTGTTGACCCAAAATTTTAATGGAGAACCAAATTAGCTTAATTTGGGAACTCAAAATGAGGGAATTAGCCACATAAATACTTGTTCTATTCTATATATCTTGTTTGAGTTCCAATTCTCAAAGAACCATAACTTGGATTATGAAGTTGTTTATAAACTTTGGTTTTGAGTCAAAGTACACTAGTATGATACAATTGTACATATTTAATCTAGATTGTTTTAGAGGTGAGGTCTAAACTCTAAACTGTTATTTTGATGACGAAGCTAGCGGCGAGATCATATATTGAGCTTCAAAGATAAGTGAGACTAGGACGACGAGAAGCTAGCCGTAGAATTGATATCCAAGAGATAGAATATTCTTGTCCATATCCTTGTTAGCCTTGATTTAAATATTATTGGCCTATGGAAATGTTTTAAGGACAAAACATGTTTGACGTTATTCATTTTAAAGAAGAGTTTAAAGTAATATTTTCTTAAAATAAGATATTTTAAGAAATGGTAAAACACATGATGGCCTAGTGATCAGTGCATGAAAATGCACCCTAAATACTGCTTTTGATTTATATAATATTAAAATATTTAAGCTTTAATTAAACAATTACATTATTTTTATTTAAAATATTTTTAATTGGAATTTGGCTAGTTTTTGCTTAATTATTTACAGATGAAAGCAGTGTAAAAAACTACACAAGAATAAGCCATGAAAGCCATGTTTTCAAACCACTCGGAGCCAAGCTCTCAGCCGAGTCGCACAAGCCGATCAGAGAGAGGGAGAGCCGCGTGAGCCAAGCCACAAGCTGATTCCACCTCTCCCACATTTCCTCACTCTTCCTCGCGCGCGTCACCTGCACGCATGGCCTCAACGCGCGCGTTCCTTCCACGCAGATATCAGCGCGCATTTCAGCTTCTCCCACGTGGGTCCCGCGTCTGCAATGCCAGTTTGATTTCCCAATGAAGCCACGCTAGCTGTCAACCTTGTCCCATGTCTGACCATCGCTAGCTCCATCCGCCCAATCCGCCCGCGACACGTGGCACGTTTCCTCCTCACTGCCAATCACGTTGCGACACGTGTCCCCTTGGTGTTGAATCTGAATTTCTCCATCAATATCAGAGCAAATTGGCCAGATTTCTTCCCCAAATTAAATATATGATTTCTCCTAATTTATGTGTAATTTTATTTTGTTTCCTTTTCTTTTGTAATTTTCTAGTTTTACAATTTATTTCCTTATTTGACAGGCAATCTCTCAACACTATAAATAGAGGGGTTGGCCTAAGGTTTTAGGAAGTTTTTAATATTCAGTTTTCTGTCGTCTTGCTGTCAGTCTCATATTTTCTCTCTAGAACTTGTGAGAATGTTTTGCAAGATAGGCTAGAATTTTCTTGGTGAGGTTAGAGATGAACTTCTGTTGAGTGACCTAATTCGGGGTTTTGATTCCTTGTGCTGTAAAGTTCAACATCTGAATGAACTAAATCTCATCTATATTTCTATTACTTTTTAAAATATTGTGTGCCAATTTTTATATAAGTTTAGTCACGCTTTTCTTATGTAATTATGTCACGCATTGTTTTGTCATTCAAATTATTTTACAAATTGTCTTTTACTGCAATATTGTCAAATGGATATATTGTCGATTTTGGATAACTTGTAATAATAATATTTTCTGAGCCAACATAGAGATTTAATTTATTCGATTCTTTTATTTTGTGAATCAAAACTTGAATTGGTTAACGAAGCATTAGGGATTCTCGACAACTTACCGTTTTCTTCATACAGATTTTTTCCTTTTTATTTTATTTGCAACAAAAATCTCAAAAACTCTCATTTTTCTTTAATTCACTTTTCTCTAACGCTCTTATTCTGTTAGTCATTCTTGTTATTTTGTTATCTCTCTGTGGATACGACCGCCCTTCTGTGCTACAATTGACCGCTTGTGAACATCACTTTTGGGCGTAAATCACCTAGAGATCGGGGTATGTAAATCATATCTTTGCGGGCAGGTCCCGAAACCTATACGGGCCACTTTGGTGGTGAGATCATGGCTGTAATTGTTGGGAATAGTATCCTAGAAGCATGAGATGTAATAGGATATTTATTATTTAATTAATAAAAGAGTTTATTCATCATTTTATGTGCATATATTTATGAATATTTTATGAATATCAAATGAAAATT